TCAAGGCAAACAGCCACGAAAGCAGGTCGAGGATGTCGTTCATCCGGATCAGAGGATGAGCTAAAGTCACAGCAACATATCGAGGCCGGCTTAAGTCAAGGCAAACAAGTCCTCTAGGAAGAACAGCTTACATATGTGATGATATGTGCTGCATTTACACCATTAAGCTCAGAAGATGGCCATGGTACAATAAGAAAGACTACATGCTTGCATACTAATAGTATTACTACATCTACAAGTGTTTACTGAAAGAAGATTCTTATTCTTTGAGAGCTACCTCAAAGAATGAGGCCTCTTTACACCAAATCCAACTCTTCCCTTAAGGCATGAATCAGTTCCGCGAGGCCATTGTCTCTGACTAAACCGCACCCGAGACGAGTGAAACAAGCGCTTTCTTTTCTTTGCCCTCTCTTTCTGCACGACTCGGCGGGCGGACTCACTCCATGGTGTCCGGCCAGCTGCACCACAGGCCTCGGTCCAGCCCTCCCATGTCGAATTTGAACTTGGCGGAGCAGAAATCGCTGATCATCCTCTCGTAGAAACCCCCGTTGCAGCAGGACACTGCCGGAAGGACCTGAGCTAGAGCGCAGAAGAGGAAGAGAGACAAAAGAAAGAATCAAAATAAACGTATTAATGGAGGCGTGAATATGAGAATGGATGTGGGTGATTGCAGCTCAGGAAGGACTTTAAAGCACTGCAGAGGTTCTCTTGTTGTGTTCACTTCTTGATAATTAGGAATATGTTGGTGTAACAAACAATGTTGTGTTCTGGCATCGGTTATCTCTGTTGGACCATTTCTTCCCTACAGTAGGCCTTTACTTTCACTCGGAGTCCCAATCCCGTTTGTTTACTTCGGAGATGTGTGGTAACAGGCTTCACAGCGTGGAAGCAGACCGCTGCTCGTCCCGCAGGCCTCGGAGCTGAGTGTGACGCCGCCCGAGCAGTACAGTGGGAGTGGGAGCTTAAGCTGGCGGGAAGAAAAAAAAAAAGACCCGCGTGGAACGAACAGGTTTCTTGTCACGATCGGGAAAAAAAACATGGCGGATCTCGGTCTGCGCGCGGCCTGATAAGGGCCGACAGTGGGCCCATTGTGTTTGCTCTGTCCCAGCTGGCTCTGAAAAGACTCAAAGGAAGACCGAATGTGTTGACACTGGGATTTTTGAAAGAGATGCTATACCGAAAAGGAGAATGTGAAAAATGATGGATACCCCGCCGGAGAAGAGGCACCAAACACACGCAAAAAAACTAAACATTTTGTAAAGAAAATGAAATGCCCTTCCGCTAAAAGGATGTTGTGTTTCGCCTGTCTGTCTTTTTGTTGGAGAAATCGGACATCCAGGCATTTGAAAGGTGCCTGCTAACTTGGCTGCTGATCAAGGCCAAACCATGACAGATGCTGCATCGCTGGAAGATTTCACTCCATCGACTTCCTGCCCTCAAGTGTTTTTTTCCCATATTTTGGGTATAACCCAGAGGAAACACACATCAGTCTAACAGGAATCATGAATTCTGCCCGCCGTCCCAGGACTCCATATTTATGGATTTAAAAAACAAATGATGCTCATGAATGAGGATCCATCCATCCATCTTGCATGTTTAGCCAGCTGCCGAGTCTTCGTGTTTTTCTCGATCATACATGTCATCGAGAGTAATGCTACTCAGGAAAGATATTGATATGTTTCTCCACATGTTATCAATGGAAGCCGTCCCTGTTGAACTGCCGCATTGCTGCTGTAAAACCTGTGCAGAGCTGAGGGATGCATCTGATGACTTACTGTGTATACGCCACTCAAACAGAATCAATGTCACTCAAGTACATCCACTCAAGAAGTGTAATTAAGTACAATGATGTACTTGTACTTGCACATAAAATAGCTTCCATTCCACTTAATACCACATGCTCACACACACCATTCCAAACAACTAAAATACACCAAAATCAAGTGGATCAAACTATTTTGTGTTGAAGGAACTTAGAAACTTCTTCCCACAAACACTCACCTGCCACCAACAACACAAGCCCCACTTTCAGGAGGCTCTCCAGAGCCATGCCGAATACCTCCAGGATGTTTTTTTTGCGCACTCCGCTCACTCCCCTGGGGGTCAACGGTAGCTTTTCCCTTCTTCCTCCATGTACCAAAGCCACTGACCCACGCACAACAACGTTACAGATAAATGAACCGCAGCGCAACGACAAGGCGCCAACTGCGCGTGAAAAAAAAAAAAAAAGGTCCCCTTGACCTGGCGCAGTGGGCAGGCTACCTCCCTCCCCCTCGGAGCGCTGCCCTAATCCTAGAAGCTCTGCCTGTCATCTGATCCTGCGTGGAGCCGCTCACAGGGGACGCAACAAAGTCAGACACCCAAATTAGTGCCAGTCATGACGAACCCGGGAGTCATACAGCCTCTGATGCACACTCATGTTACACAAATATAAACAAAGCTAAAATGAAATGAAATAAACAGATGAAATAAATAAACTTGCAGTATGAGTTCATTTTGATTCATACCAATAATATCTCTTATTTATTTAGAACTGAACATGGTATTCCATAGGAGAGGCCTACACACAATTACCACAACTCATAACCTATGAATTGAATGCCACTTGCTCTAATTTGCACCATCATCAGTGCAGAGGCCTGCTGTGGGATAACACATCATTAGACTCATCATAGGTTTTTAATTAGTCAAGTTCCCCCCCATCACTTATTGATCATTTGTAATGGACTGCAGCCCTCCAATCAAATGTCTCTCTGGACTCACACAGGGACCCATTAGACAGAGCTCACATTTCCGTGCAATGTTCATATCTGCTCACATCGCCTGCAGCTCAGAAATGTCATTAATTGAATGTTTTATCTGCAGATTTTCTTTTCTTTTGTACAGGAACAGAGTGACGTTCATTAGTATTCTCCAGGCTGCTCTGCGTTGTGCTGCCACCCAGTGTGGCTGTCTGTGCTGGTGTGAGACTGGTCCCAGAGCTCTAACAAATGCTTTAGACTGTTCATGCATCAGTGTGATTTGGAAGGGAGACACTTTTCAGTGTTAACTACAAACAGATTTGGTGCGAAGACAAACCCTGCTCTGGTCATTCTGTGTTGATACTAAAGAGGATGGTACACATCAGTGATTTACATGCTTGCAGTGTGTCTTTAAATCTTGAAATTCTGTTCAAATAAGACTGGGAGGGGCTGGAACTTGTGTTTCTCTTGATAAAAAAGTCAATACATGTTTCTTTGAACCTTCTCAATGAGTTAGAGAAAGAATCTATTCAAATATAAAGTGTCTCAGCAAGCGATTGCCAAAGGAATCACAGGATTGTTGTTGATTATTGGACACAGCATGATGATAACTAGGCTTTGAGGTGATCATTTGGCCTTTGGGTTGAATCCCCAGTGCTATGAGCACAATGTTTGTGAAAAATACAACCAAATGTAATTGTATGTCCCCAAAAAAAACAGCTCTAAGATTCATGCAAGCTGCAGGGGCTTGAAATCGAGTAATTCTCTCTAAATTCCCCTAGAGAGCAGCAGAGGACGCTGAATGGAGCCTCTATTTAGGCGCTGTGGGGATTTATGAGGGATCCTTGCGGTCCTCGCTGCCTAAAGTTGTGGAGCCACTTGGTAATAGAGCCAGTTCATGCGCGATTTTCTGCTTTACATGCATCACAAATCAATATATTTTCGTCCTCGCTCATTTTTTTTTCTTCCGGATGGTTTCACACTTTGACATCAGTCCACAAACGAAGCCACAGGGGCGGAATGGGCCACGCTGGCTTGTAAGACGAGCGGCCCTGAAAATGGTTTAGTGCTGGAGCCAGCCCCTTTAGACCGGCATCATCCAAAATTTATAGATCTGCTGGTGGTGGATATTTGCAGAGGATGGCTCTGCTGGCACCGCAGGGAACTTTCTGCAAATCTCCATTCAATATACCAGCACCAATTATGTAGTTCGATAGTTGTAAAATAGTCTGTAACAAAAAAAAGTCAATGTGATTTGTGATAGTATCCTTTTTATCTTTAAAGACAGGATATATCTCTGCCATGTTAACCAATTGGCTCTAAAGCAACTAATGAAATATGACTTTAAATTATGATCATTGCGTGACAATAAAAGAAGAATTCCTGGGTTGTTTCGGAAACCAAAAGAGAGTATATGCTCCTGACAGGTGTGTTGACAGCAGCGATGACGCCGAGTAAGCCAATCAGAAGAGGCGATAAGTGAGGTGGGCGGACTTCCAAAAAAAAAAAAGACAAAACGCTCCTAATCTTTTCGGATAGCCTATTTAATAGGCTGAAGGAGGTGTCAATGACAGCAAGGGGGTGTTTTCCCCCCCCCCCCCCCACCCACCCCCGAGCCCTGCACTTACTCCACTCACCCTCCACTCACCCTCCACCCCCCCTCCCACCCCCCTACTCCCCCCCCAGCCACCGGCGCTATGGCAGCGTGAGGAGTGAATGGCTCTGAGTATCCGCGGCGGAAACCGACCTAAACACTGGCCTGGGAACTGATAAACAAACACAACAAATAACGCGGTGCGTAAAAAGCTCTCCACGGCGCTGGTTGCGGGTGCGCACGGACACCGTCTCAGCGGTCCAGGAAGCCAAAGAAGACTCCGACGTGTTTGTTTGTTTTTTTTTGTTTTTCCTTCCTTTTCGTTGTGGTTGTTTATTTCTGTGCGCAAGAAAAAAAGAATGGGGATATCTTGATTGGACATGTGAGTTACGGGAGTTAACAAGACAAGCAGACCCTTTTCCAAGATGAAGTTCCTCGCTTGCCTCCTCGTCACTTTGCTGGTGATCCGATCGAGTGCGGCACAGTCAGGTGAGTTGCTTGGATGCGCGTTCTCTCTGCACCTGGGTTCTCCCTGTCAGGTCAGACTTGAAAAGCGAGGTGTGGGTGTGTGGGGGGGGGGGGGCTCCAGTGAGGGTCCGAACTCCTTCACGCGTAACCGGCGAATCCGCTGTACTTGTGTGCCGAATGATAATGAATGGACATGTTTTGAAACACCCAGTGTTGTTGGCTCTACATCACGCTGTCACAAACTTAACACAACTTCATATCCGAGCGCGCTGATGCTGTTTTGAGTCGTCGCACCGAGAGTCACACCTGCAGTATATAGCCTAAGCTGTGGGATTCAGCAGCCCGTGTCGGGCTCTGCGTAAAAATCTCCCCAAGCTCCTCTCCGTGTGGTTTAACCTTTTATTTCGCTCATCAGATAAAAAAAAAAAAAATTCACACATTTTCGTGTGTGTGCCCGATTGGATCTATCTTTAGGTGAAGACATTTTTTTCAAAATCCAGTGAAGAGAGCGAGTCTGTGACGATAGCGCAGCTCAGATGAGCCTGCCGCTTCATATTGTGCCATTAATATGAATGAATGCGCCAACGTTTTAATTTAATTCCCCTAAGCGGGGCATTGATAGACCGAGGACTGATTCATATGAATTGAGCTTGGTCGGTGCAGTTTCTATTCCTCCTAACTGTCTTTGAATAATTTAGATGTAGCACGACACATCTCGCTTTCCTCATTGGGACCCCTGTGGGGTCGTAAATCACTTCAATGATCCTGCAATATTCCTATACTGTAATGCAATTGTTGATGCATGGAGTTCCATGTGCTGTGCTTTCCTCTGGCACCCCTGTAGGTATATTCGCTGCTGCAACATGCCACGTTTGCTGTGTGACGCTTTCTTCATGATTTTTGCAACACATCTGAGCAAATGATTTGATGATGAGAGATTGTGCTGTTGAACTTTGTTCACAGACTCGCTGATCAATAAGGACTTTTAATGTGCTCCCGGTGTAATGTCTGCTTTGGAATAATGTCAGACTGTGAGATGCAGAGTCATATTTTGCGTTTGCATTTTGGGCCGAGGAGCACTTCATGATGCCATGAATCTCCTGTCTTAATTGATGATTGATGTCAAGCTTTGGCAAGGGATGCCAAACCGGGGGGGGGAAGCCAAATACTAGCAGACTCAGGAAGTGGGATAGTGGAGAGTTTGTGGATTGATGTTCAGAGGTGAACTTGGCCATCGCCCAACCTCCCAGAGGGGGTTTGTGGTTCTGAGGCAGAGCTGAAGAAACAAACACCGCCGGCTGGCTGTGGCGTGGGTCTCGGTTGCTGCCTATTAAACAGGGGTGGATGGGTGTCAGGCGGGGATGAATGAGGGAAGAAAAGTGGTTTATTTATTCACTATATGCATACACTCCCATCCAAGACATTTGTGATGCAAATTCAGCGCAAGAATCTGAGCTATGCCTCCCGGGGACGTCCATCGTGCGTGTGGGTGTATGCTGAGTACATATTTGTATGCTATCCGTCCACTCTTTTTGGCTTTTAACCCCGCCCCCCCCCCCCCTCTCTCATTATTGTGGCTTTAAAAAGTCCCACCCAGCACCATCTATCAAGTCATATCAGGTTGGAATGAGTTTGACATGGTGATCGAATCTGTCTGTGCGCTCCTGCAAGACAAATGTCTGCTGCATTCCTGCCAGTCAGCCGGTCTGTGGAGCTGTATGCACTAATTTCTGTGTGTGTGTGTGTGTGTGTGTGTAGTGTGTTGTGTACAGTGCGACCACATGCCAAAAATGGAGATGTTCGCACCATGAACTTGATTGATGACTTGTCTGACTGACTGCCGGCAGAGCGAGAGGATGTTAGTGTTTCTGTCTGTCCGCAGACTCGTATTAATAAAAAAAACCCCCCATTAAAAACAAGAAGTGATTCAGAGCTGAGGATTGACCCTGCCGATGCGTTCAAGGGTTCGTTAATAGGTAAACTCAATGGGAAGCTGAGGGAAGTAAATTTACTTCCATGACACATTGGATGTATTGGTTTTGGTCTTTGCAGATCTCGGGGTTACTGCATCCTACAACATTCCTCAGCCCTTGATCCTCCAATCCCCATGAGGAAGACCATGCAGTGTGGTTGAAAGCTATTTACTGTCAAAGCTACTGTTCAAAAAAGTCAATGAGGAACTTTCGTGCTCAGTCTATATCGTCCTTGTAGTGCTGAATGCCTTTAAATCCAGCTTTCTTTGTGCAGTGTTCCAGTTGTTTGTGAGTCAGCTGATTTTGCTCTTTAGGTTCAAGCTGCTGTCTCAGGTCAAAGGTGATTGGTGTTCTCATGGACGACAATCTTTAGCTTGAAATGCTAACCTGTTAAATGAAGCTGCACGCCAGTAGTTCCACCGTTCCTCTGTCGAGCTGTCTGTGTGTCTGCTTACCGAAACAAACGACTCAAACATGTCAATCACCGCAGCTCTGTGTGTACGACAAATGCTGCATTCACTTGTGTGTGTGTGTGTGTTTTTGGGTGACATTTAAAGACGTGCTCTCCAGTGAAATAGGGGGGGGGGGGGGGGAGTGGAAAAGGGGAACCCGCTGAATGCCAGTATCAAATTACTGGGCGTCCGTCAGCTGGCACACGCGGAGCCACGGAGCCGGCCTGGGCTTTGTAGAAGGCTGGCGGAAATGAGAATTTATTACAAGCTAATTAAGCTTTTTTTTTTTTTCTCTCTCTCTTATTTTCTGATAGCATCGGTCTAGACCGCGAGCCCTTTATGTGACAGCATGAGAGATGAGGGAGGTGAAGGAATTCAATCTTGCTCTAAATTAGTCAACAGCGCTATCATAACTTGGGATCTGTATCGTTTCTGACGGGCTGATGGAGATCTGCGTGCTTCCTGTGCATCTGTCGGCGTCTTCCGGTGAAAGAGACAAGCAGGGGGGGATCAAATATGGCCGCTTGTACAAAAGAGTAATAATTGCAGTTCAGTGAGGGCGACATAGAAGTGTTATTTGCTTCCTCTGTCTCAGCGGGCCGTAAGGGAAGCCTTACAAATGGCCGCCTGCCGCGCGGGGGTGATGGAAAGCTTCTCCGAGGCCTGAGACAGCAGTGCGCTATGCCTCTCGCCGTCTGAATCAGCGTTTCGGATTATCATCCGCACAGGCCAAGCAAACAAAGATGACGCTGTTCACATAAAGGAAAGAAAAAGCAGTGTTTTTTTTTTTTTTGTCTCCGGCTTTTTCCTCTTCCCAGGCATTCCGAAGCGATCCGGCGACGTCACGAGCCTGTTTGCTGACATTTCGCTCGCTGCCGGCTGTACAGAGGGCCTTTTGTTCCTCCAGTTTGCGAAACCACCCAAATATTTACATGCGGAATCACAACTGCACACCATGGGGGAGCAACACGGCCAAGGCACGGGCGCAAAATAGCGGCTTTGTTGGCCTCCGTTTGCTTCTTCGTCCCTTCTCCGTCTCCGGCGCTGTGTTGGCAGGAACAGACTTTCGAAACCCCGCGTGCCTTTCGTGCCGCCTAATGATGAGCAGGGTTTGGCTTCGGTTGTGCCGAGGCGTCAGGTGCCAACTCCTAGTGCGAGTTAGATTAGCCGGTCGGACGTTTGGAGCCTGGCACAGATGCCGCCTTTCAGGGAGGACTGAGATCTCACTCCCACACAGAAAACACAGTTCACCCATGCACGGGGATTTACTGTAAACACCCCCGAATCTGCAGGCTCCCTTTTAATTCCTAATTGCTTGCTGATTCTGCATTGTCTCTTAGTCTAATTTTGTCTTTATTTTTCTCCTACGTGCACACATGCAAACACACACACACTCATGGAAGTTAATGCCTTATGTCTTTTAAGTGTGAGGCGGCTTCCTCGTTGCTTGCTTTAAGCACAAGTCTTGAATCTACTTTTCATGGTTGTTCTCAACTCTTTCTTTCTTTCTCTCACACACACACACACACACTCACACACACGCGTGCGCGCACAGCGTGAGCGAGGCATGACCCAGGAGAAGAAAGGACAGGAAAGACAGAGGCATCTTTTTTTTTTTTTTTCTCCCTCTTCTGTTTCTTCTAGACCACTGGAGGGTTTGTTCGGCCCGCCACTTGTGATTCCACTCAGAGACAAATGCCTCCATCCTGCGACTGAGGGGCGTCCCACACACACACACACACACACACACACACACACACACTCTCACACAATGTTGCAGTGCCGGTCAGCTCGCACCACTTATCTTCTTTTATTTGACTCCTCTTTCATTAGCTCTCTTTCACTTTCTCTCTCGCACATTCGTCATCTCCCCCCCCCTCCATCTCTTTCCTTATCTCTGCCTCTCCCTCCCTCCCGCTCTCACCCATTAACATCTCCATTGTGCCTCGGTTTCACCTCCCTGCTCTCTTTCATCTTTCACTGCACCTCTGCTTTTCTTCCCTCTTTTTAACGGCGTTTTATTTCCTCGCCTCTCTCCTTCCCTTCCTTCTCACACACGCATATCTGCTCGCGCACACTCCCCCCTCTGTCTTTCGTTAGCCGTGTGTGTGTGTGTGTGAGGCTGTCACCGAGCACACAGGGCGAATGGAAAACAGCTCATTTCTCCCTCTTTAATTGCGACACCCAATTTGTTTTCGTGGACAACACACTGTCGGCGGCTCCTTCATACACTACTCCGACTGTCATACACGTGCTTCCACACATGTATGTGTTTCTGTGTGTGTGTGTGTGTGTGTGTGTGTACTGTCAAGCTGGTGAGCTTTGAAGGGGACATCATGAAATACTCATTTCTTCACCGTCTAGAGTGTCTGCCAATCCACAAATTATGAAACAAGACAACCCACTTAGCTTTTTTTAGAGCTGCCTTGATCAGAAAATATGTGATGAACAATCTGTTTAGATCTGGTTCACATTCCTTTTTCAAGACTTGAGAACATACCTTTGCAAAGGTTCGCCATATTTTTCTCACACTCAGAGCAGACTGGGCTTTTTCGGGATGAGGCCTTAAAGCGACAGTCGCTGAAACGGAGCGTTT